AACAAAGAGAAGATGCAAGAAATGATACCGACTTGGAAGTTTTATTGTGCGTCGAAGAGAACGATGGAAAGATCAGCACAAGGAAACTTGAGGATGAAATAGGAATAGATCACACTACAGCGTTTCGAATTTTGAAACGACACAAATACTATTCCTTCAAATATGAAAAGCACCAAGAGCTACAAGATGGGGACGAAATACGGCGGCAGGCGTTTTGTTTTGATATGATGGAAAGAGCAAACACGGATAGGAAATTTTTAAAAAACATATGTTTCACTGACGAATGCACGTTTACCTTAAATAATGAACCCAATGTTCAAAAGTATCGATACTGGAACAAAGAAAATCGACACAGGTTTGTCGAAACAAGAGCGTAATATCCACAGAAAGTAAATGTTTGGGCAGGGATATTCGGACACAATATGATCGAGCCATTATTTCTTACGCGAAATTTAAATGCAGGATATTATTTGGAACTACTCGAAAATCATATTTTACCTGCTTTACATGATGCCGCTAGGGTAAATCAGGAAGTTTGGTACCACATGGATAGCTGCCCGGCACATAGTACCCTGGCTGTTCGGGAATATTTAGACAATAGTTTTAACGGAAACGTTATTGGCCTAAGTCATACAGTAAATTGGCCAGCAAGGTCTCCTGATATTTTGCCAATTGATTTCTTTCTCTGGGACCATTTAAAAAACAGGATATACAAGGATAAAAAATATCCAAATCTAGACGAGTTAAAAAATGCTATTTCTGCCGAATGCAATAGAATTTCAGTTTAGCAACTAGCGAATGTAAGAAGATAATTTTATGATCGCCTGGGTTATTGTCTAGCAGTCGATGGAGGAATATTTGAACATCTTCTTAAATCCTAAAGTTTAACAATTTAATATAGTACCTAAATTAATAAGTTATTGAATATTGTAATAATACGAATATAATTAACCTTGTAATTGATTACTTTATTTCACTTTAATTCATATTAATTTGTATTTATAAATACATCTTTAAGATTTCCGATGTAGGAATGAGTTTTCAATAATAATAAAGCACTAAATAGGCATAAATAGGTAAATTTCTGAAATGACAACTTTATTTGACAGTTATCTTTTACCTTGACTGGTGGTCATAAGTAAATACAGGGCCATAAGAAAGGAGAAACATTTAAAAAGAAATCGGCGATAACTCGTAAACGAGCTAATCAAAAATATCTAAAGTTATTCTTTTGAATGTGGGTTTTAGTGCTCTTCAATAAACCTAAATAGAATTATTCTCTAAAATAATTAGGGAAGCCTAAATAATTGACCCCATTAAAATTTACATGGGATTTCCTATGTCCCGTCCGACGATGCAACACCCGGTATGTATTTTGTACAAATTGTATAAAATATTAATTTTACCCTTATACTACGGCTATGCCTAAAGAGTTTAAGATACGAAAAATACCAGTAACATTATTATTCTTCTCAGAAAGATGGGTGACGCAAATAAACAGAACCATTGCCTTAAGATAAAATAGTCATAACAAGGTGAGTCATTTCTAGTTTTCCTTTGAAATCCACTTACTTTCAGACGCGATGTCTGGTTTCTATTTACTTAAGAAATGGTCATGTTTGGCCCTTTGCAAGCCTACCATAAAATATTATAAGAAATAATAGGTACGCTCGTGGATTTTTGGAGAGGGCATTCTCATAAAAGCACGGTCGCAGAAGGGATCGGGGACATTCATAAAAATTCTTTGATAGACCTAAGATTGCTTTTTTTTGGTTGTGAAACATTAATTTAAAATTAAAAAAGTAATAACCAATTAGTAAGAGCTTAATTATAAAAAAATAAATAATAACATTCCAAACACAAGTGGTGATACGAGTCAAATCACAACAAGGTGATTCAACAGAGAACTACTCCATTTTGGCAGCGACTACAAGATTGGTGACAACGGTGGTCCAACCCAGGATCACAACAGGCTGATGTCGAGGATGGAGAGCTGGCCTCTGTGGAGCCGTCTCAGATACTGGCTTTTGTTAAAGCCCTGAGACTGTATAATGAGTTATAACTCGTTGTAACTCAAGAAAGGGGAACACACAATAGATCTGTAAGTTCGTGGTTAGGTTCCCCCCTTCTAAATATTCTATATACCAAGAATGAATTTTGAGAAATTTTGAGAAATAACTCTCTGTAGTATTTAGTAACAAAAAGAATTGGAAAATACACACACACACAGCAGTTAAAAGACCATACCATAACGTGGTATACTGATGCTTCCAAAACCAAAGCAAAATCAGGGATAAGAGCATTTAGACCAAAAAATAAATACTCCGAAACAACAGCTCCCCATAGACCGAAAGAACCGGCCAGCGGACCCGGCCTTCAGACGAAATCTTTGCGTTTGTGAGCTAAACCAAGTCTTTGCCAGGCCAATCCTTTGGTACACTAAGTCCGCGGACTTGGCCTGTGAGATCAGATTTGTCTAAAAAGCTGAACGAAGATAACGTCGGCAGACTTGTAATGATCTTTTTTTTCTAAGCGGCAGTTTTTATTCCCATAAACATTTATCTATATAAAAACTGTTATAAACTCTCCCAAACGAGAATATTTAATGGAGCAAAGATAAATAAAAAGGGAGCTAATGGGCACCCTAACCCTACATTCTTCAGGCAGAAATGTATAATGTAGAAGAATGCGTACAACTGGTGGTCCAGCGATTGAGACCATTACTGTGTTCTGCCGAGAAGCAAGAGAAAATACTACCTGCTGAGCTTTATCCAGACTCAGAACTCCAATGCAAGAACATCGAGTTGGCGAGTCATCAACTCGAGGGAGGAGGGTCATGGTCAGGAGGGTCTCACAATAGGAATTGACCTCAATTCCAAAAAGTCAATAGAGAAAGAGGGATATATCCTCTGTTATAGATTCGGGACAACACCGGTATCAGGTCTAAGGAGAGACCAAGTTAAAGGGGTGGAGAAAATGGAGGCAGATCCACCAGCCTCCACTGGAGGTACCTCAGCCGGAGACAAGCTCCTTGACTGTGAAGGACATGGAGGGCCAAACCCCAACCGTGGAAGGGTGTATACCTTCGGTGGAGGAACATCTGTTGTCAGAGAAGGATTAGAAATACCCTGTCGCCCCTGCAACATGTATGATGGGTTATAGACTGTATGATGAGTTATAACTCAAGGTGATTGAGAATAGTAACACTGTCTCAACAGGGCTACCGGCAAGTTTTAATAACTGAAATTGTAGGAGTTAACCAAAGCGATGTTTTGCGAATATTAAAAAAAATTAGGGAGACAAATAAGGTTACAAACCGGCCTGGAAGAGGTAGAAAAAGAGTTACTACTGCTGTGCAAGACCGTCAAATATCCCTAATTGCATGACGCAATCCTCTGCTTTCTAGTAATTGTCATTAAAAATGAGTTAGCTCGCCTTGAAGGAGTAAATTTTTCAAGAAAGATCATAGCAAGAAGACTCCATGACTGAGGATTACATTTAAGCCTCTACGTGTTCCGAAGCTTAATTTACAGCACAAAATTACGCGACTACAATGGGCTTAGGAGATGAGAGCAAATGGACCTAATTAGAATTTCGTCATGTTTATTGATGAAACAAGAATAGTGTCAGACTCGGGACGAACTTTGGTCTGGAGAGCATCTGGAAGACGAGCACGCTTGAATGCAGCTCAACCTCGTGTCCCGTTTCAAGGGGGAAGCGTTATGGTATGGGCAGGTATAATGCACGAAGCTCGAACTCCTCTTGTTTTTATTGATGTCACAATGACAGGTGCCTCATATCTTAGAGGCGTTTTAGAGCCTATATTGCGTCGATTTCTAGGGGCAGTGAGGATGAATTTGTTTACATGGATGATAATGCTCCTCCCCATCGCACCTTAGCGGTTCGCGAATTTTGTGAGGAAGAGGGTATAAGAAATCTGTGGTGACCACCGATGTTTCCAGATATGAATGTGATCGAGCATGCTTGGGACATGCTGAAACGCCATATTGCCAAAAGGAATGATCCCCCCCGTACCTTAAATGAATTGAAAATTGCTGCGCGCGAAACATGGGAAGCCATTCCTCAACATCTTCTGAACAACTTAATTGAGGGTATACCACGTCGTCTCAGAGCTTGCATTGAGGCTCAAGGAGGCAATACAGACTATTAGTTGTGAGAAATAATTAAAATTGTTTTCAATATTTCCTGCTTAAAATGAAATTTGTTTTTGTTGATTTTCACTCATTATGAAATAAAATTATAATAACAGCCTAGCTGCACTTAGATTTTTAATTTTATATTAGTTAGTCGTGTAGTAAGCCAATATGTTCAAAAATATAATAAGAATCTTATTAGGTCCAAAATAAAATAAAAATATCGTTCACACACCATCTAAAGTAATATTATAGTATAGTAAACCTAATATTATAGTTTTGATTTCAGGACAGTTCTTGTATTTTTAGTAGGTAATGTTTTTAAGAAAGGCTGAAACTGAAAAATATATATTTTTTATTTATTTATTGATATCTCTGAAACTATCGATTATGTAAAATGATCTGAAAGGAAGCCAAAAAATGTAATAATATACAAGGTGTGGTACATTTAACAAAAAACCATCCCGATCCACTCCTACTTTTTTGAACCATTGAAGTTAAAATATTTTCCTCAAATACATCCTAGTACATACTTTAGGTTTGCACTTAAACAAAATTTCCAAGTTTTTTTATTCTAGGAGCTACAAATGCCCGACGCACTACTGCCGGATCCTGTAGAAAACAATTTAGAAAATCATGGAAGAATCGAATCAAGAACTTATCGCCTCTGTATACATCACACGTATATTATTTTAAGTAAAACCTTTTATTTGGAATAAGATTTGGAGCTGCTTTTCAACGTAAACGATTATTTTCTTTCATAGTTTGCCATTGTCACTAGAACAAACTAAAAGAATAAAGATGTTTACTTTGATTAGATATCAGTTACGTTATAAATATAGTTATTCTGGTTTTTGTTGTTCTTGAACGGCCGTTTAGTCGGGTCTGTTATCGGGTGCTGGTGCGTGAATAAATCGATGCTTTTAACTTAGTGAAAGATGGATCATACGGGCAAGGAATACCGAAAGCCCAATCCTAGGGAATCGGCTAATCTTTTTTCGCTTTTGACATTTATGTAAGTTGCATGCTATTGGTTTATTTTTGTTTTTAGTGGAGTGCCCAGAGCTTTTACCTCGGAATTCAATTACTGTGAATGTATTAATGTGAAACCCTCTGTATTGTGTTTTATAGATAAAATACTAAAATGTTTACCCATTTTTTTCGTTGCTTTTAATTTTTTACTAGCTTTTTCCCTCGACTTCGTTCGCGTTGAACCTCGAATCGTTCATACAAATGCAATATTTAAACTATGTTTTTAAGAGTTTTAAAGCTACTCGTATTTCATATGAAAGTTAGCAACTATTTGTCGATTTTCTGGGTATTATACAGGGCGAGTCTTGAATAAGTGCAAATATTTTTAGGGCCGGTAGACGTTTTTCTTGCGGCTGGTTTACTATTTTTCAAATAACTCCAAAATAACCGAGTTATTTTACATTGAAAATTTCAAAAAAAATTGTTTAAATTTTGAGCTTTTCGGGTTTTTCTGCCTGGTAAATTTAATCTACTACCTACGTTGCCATATTATCAAGAAATTATGGTTTTTAACTAAAAAAAAATATAAAAAGTTAAATAATCTAAATAATTCTAGAAGTTGTTATCGATATCAAAGTATTTCAAAGAAGTTCAATTTTGGCCTCAAAATGATTTTGAAATCTTGCTTTTTGACACTTTTTTCAAATTTTTCTAACTACTTCCATTGATTGAAACTAATTATGTATGGTTGGATAGAAGGTGGATGTGGTTTTTTATTTCTTAATTATGTATAGGGTGGTTTAGAAATCGAAACAAAGTCGAAATTTTGCAAAATCTGAAATAAGAAAATCTCTCGAAAATAATAAATAGTGAAATGACTATTTACCCTCTATAAATAGAACCCTACTTATGATCCCATATAAACTGTATTACTAAAATAAATAACTTCGATATCTAGATATTGTGGTTCTCTAGAAACTTCTAATGAATGCTCAGCCTGGGACACCCTGTATACTGTAATAATTATAATAAAAATCGATAGATTTAAATATGTTATCTACTCATCAGCAGTGCCGTCTAGACGTAGGAACCTGATGGGCCCTGGCCCCCGGAGTATTAAGGGCCCCAGACATCAATTTTTTAAAACTTATAATAATATTTTTAACTCGAAAAACGAATGCAATTTGATATAATAAAACAAGCAAGTGCAAAAGTAAAGTGTTTTGGTGTATTGTGGTGAATTAGTGTTTTATTTTGTTCTTGTAACACCAAAGGTTCCAACCCCAACTGTAATAAATTAGAGGTATTAAATTATTGAACATAATTTTGCTAACGAGCCATATACTACCATTCATGGGCCATGCAGTATTAGATCGGGAAATCTCCGAGCGAATGTTCACATGTATTTAATGGCAACTTATGATGACAAAGTGATGGAAATACCGGTTCCACAAATGAGCCGCGTTACTTTCGCGACCGTTCCAGGAAAATACCGCGACAAAATTTCGCGATTTTGTAAGTCCTCCAAGATCAGAGGGGCCCTGAAGACGGCACTGCTCATCATCGGTAAAGAAGCTAGAATACAAGTTTATGCTGTGCATTGGTTGTAATTTAAAATGTTTATTCAGTAAAAATAAATAATGAAACCATTGAAAAATAACTTAAAAGCTAAAATAAATAAATTCGGTCTCAAAATATATAAAAAAAAATAATTATTCCATATTTTATACAAAGAAAATTAACCCTTGATTTAATTCCTAAATAGAAAATGCCATTGACAATTACTGGGGCCTGATAATTGATAATTAAATAAATATCTGCTTCCATTTATACTGTTTATAGTTTGCGTATACGTATGGTTTGCATACTCCACCTACAAACTGCTTCATAACTACTGAAAACATATTGGCCTTGTTTGTCAGTTGAATAAATAATTACTTATTAAGATTCGGAGGCCCCCTAAAAGACGGGGCCAGGGGCGGACCGCCCCTTCCGCCGGCACCAAAAATGGGCACCTTAAAACTTTGAGGTATACTTTAAAGTTTAATATATTTTGTTATAGTGGGCCGATTTTGATGATTTTTTAAGCAGTATGTAGCCAAATTATCTGACTTTTTAATATCTCTTTCTAAATTAAAAATGAAACTTAATTAAACCATCTGTTAATTATACGAGAGAAAACAAAATGTTGATATTTTGGTGAAAGTTTGAAACACCCTGTGGAATATGTTAAAATAGCAAGAAATTTAAAAATTAATTTATCATCTAGATACATCCTTTCTCGATAGTTTGTTTTTTGGTTCATCTCAATAGCTTTATTTTTGTTGGAGATATTCGCTTTTGAAGAAGGCCCTAACATTTTTTCGTCATTTTCACATTAAAACCATGCCTTTGCTTTTTTTTTCCTAGTGAACAGATCTAGTAAGTTCTGGTGCCGAAGCAGGCCTTCTTGATATAAGATTTGCTTCCTTTAGTCTTCTTCTTATAGTCCGTTAGTTAATATGTACGTTCCTTAGGTGCAATTCATTAGCCTTTCTTAGCGATAAACTTACAATAAGTCGATCGTCTCGATTAGAAGTTCTCATACGAAGGTTCTTGGATGTCTAGATTGACGTCCTCATGGACGTGGTCATAATTCAAAAACTCACTCACTCTGTATACTCTATGGTATTAAGGAATTTTTGGAACCACTGCACAAATATAAAGCATTTCATTTGAAAAACTTAAGTGTCAAAATATTTTTGACTCACCCTGTATATCTATAAAAATAGTTTTGAAATGTGAACTACCATTAAACGCATATTTTGTAAAAGGTTTGGATTAAAAATTTCAAATAGGAATCCTAGTATAGAGCTTTTTCGGAACGCCATCTTATATATGCTTTTGTATACATATGTGTGTTTATTAAAATACTAAAGTGAAAGCAAAGAATTTAAATAGGTAAACTTTGTAATATATCTTATTAACAATAGAATGCAAAAAGGTTTATAAAAATTCGTGGTTTGTATCCCATAAGGGCTTAAAGCACTCCACTATTTACATAGCTTTTTTATAATTGAGGGGTTCAAAAGTGAACTGGATCAAGTCCTAGAAGATAATTATAGAGAAAATGAGAGTTAAAGTTTTTTAATGTTACTTAATTAAAATAAAATAAGTTGGAGATGAAAACTGGACACAATGCTTTATTCCTTTAGTTCCCAGTGGCGTAGAGGTACAGGCTCTCGTCTACCAATCTCAAGGTAGTGGGTTCGAATCCCACACCCGGCATTTTATCAGCCGACTATTTTTATTAAAATAAAAATAGTTTGGGTACCTAGGTCGACTCAGCCTTAAATGAGTACTTTGGTTTCACAATCCTGAGGTAATAATAGGCGGTTGAAGCGTAGTGCTAGCCACATTACCTTCCTTGTATACCGAACGGCTCTAGTATGGCAAACTGTACCTTGCTACTCCCAAGGCCTAAAACGCTATATCCGGGAGCTATTATTATTATTATTATTATAATTACAAACTAAACTAACTCAAAATACAACCGTAGCCATTTTTAAGAATGTTTATTTATACTTTCTTGGACTTGAACCATTTTAGCTCTGAAAATATTTTGAAATTTTATATTATAAACTAACGTGTACCCGCAATTTCGTTCGCGTCGAATTAATCATTTGTACTGCAAGCAAAGCAAGAATTTCCATTAACATACAAACTGGATAAAATTTTCTCAAATTTATGTCAGCACGGGAAAAAACAATATGGCGATATTATTATATAGCTTGGTAATATTTGAGGGGTAGTTTCATCTCGTTGGAATTTGACTTTCGAAAAATCCGTTTGCCAAAAATAAGCTTTTTACCTCAAGCAGTTTAAGCAGGATCGTGGGTAATCAATTACTCAACTTTTTGGAACACCCTGTATGATTTTTTAAAAAATTTCAAAATATGTAAAAAACAAAATAAATTATACGTGTCCAAGCGTTTTCCCGAAAGACTAACCGTTTTTAAATAACAAATATTGTAATATTTGAAGATCGTGATTACTCAATGGTCATGTTTTATGAAACACCCTGTATAAATCTTTAAAAAATCTTAAAATATGTAAAACAACAAAATAAAATAAATAAAATATAAGTGTTTAAGAGTTTTTCCGAAAAACTCACCGGTTTTAAATAAAACATATTCTAATATTTGAGGGGTGGTTTCACCCCCTTAGAATTTGAGTTTCGAAAAATCCCTTCTTATCGAACCTCTACACACTAAACTCAATCCGTTTTCCAAAAATCAGCTTTTTAGGTCAAGCGCTTTAAGCAGGATCGTGATTAATCAATGACCAGATTTTTCGAAACGCCCTGTATACATTTTTAAAAAATCTTAAAATATGTAATAAAACAAAATAAAATATACGTGTTTAAGCTTTTTTTCTAAAACATGACCGTTTTTTAAATAAAAAATATTGTAATATTTGAGGGGTGGTTTCACCCCCTTGGAACTGGAATTTCAAAAAATCCCTTCTGATCGAACCTCTATACCCTAGAATCAACCTCTATGCCAAAATTGAGCTTCTTACGTTGAGTGGTTTGAGCAGGATCGTGATTAATCAGTGAGTCACTTAAGTAGATTGGTTCATCGGACAACATTTTTCTTCGTCATTAAGAGATTTGTTAACTTCTGATTGTCTATTAATAGTGTTTTTTTCGATTTTTAACATTGAAAATGTTTCTGTTATCCTATATAAGGGAGCCCAAATCGATTTAAAATGCTACATTTGCCACACCATGACGTCATAATATATACAAGGGTATAGGAAATCTCGCGGCAGTCGGCCAGCGCGCGCAAAAACCATTACATTGCTAATTGTTTATTGATATATCTTTATTAGTTTAAAAGCAAAAAATATGGGGTTTGCTTTGATACCTTATCAAGACATAAGCGAAACTTTTAAATTGTTTCTTTTTTTCATTTAGGCCTTCGTTTTTCGTTAAATGAAAGTTATATTAAAAAAAATCTATTTTTAAACCAAATTTTCGCATAATTGAAATGATTATTCATG